ACAGGACTTCACAGGACGCAACAAAAATCAGTTGTAGTGAGGCGCTAGAATGCACGACAACTGGTACATGTACATGCGAAACAGGAATACTTGTGCCTCCAGCACAGCACACGCGCCGTCACACACCATCAGCAAGGTGGCACAATCATTAGAAAGGGAGAGAACGAGAGAAAGAGGGGGGGGGAGGGAGGGGGGGAGGAAGCAAGAGGACGAGGGAGTACAAGCAGCGTCGAGATCTCAAAAAACGGGTTCACCGCACGTGCGATTTGTTTTGTAGGAAACCAGGACCACCGCGTTGAGATACAGCATTCTTGGGGTGCCATGCCGCATTTTCCCGTTGCGCACGGGCAGACCTTCAACAGCACAAACCCGTGTGTCTGTGCACAAGAGTATCAGGGAAGTGGTGCTTGATTTGGAGTTCATGGGATGTTCTTTGGTATTAACAGAACTATTATCAACGGTAGAAACGACAGCAACCACGGTACCATAACAATCGGATCTCCCGATGAACACTCGCGGGTGCCGGTTCCGTACCAACCGCAAGACATATCTCGCATCCCGTCTATGAACCGAGAAAGCAGTTTTTTTCTCACCGTGACTTTTCGCTCCAGCGTGAGGACGTGTTTTGAGCAAGCGGCGTCTTCGCGGAAGGTCCTACTGCTGTACCCCGCTGCGTTGGATCGCTCTCTGATATGTTGTCGTACCGCCGGTGAACGTCGTACATGTTTTGCTGGGTAAGAGTCAAAAGGTTTGCTGCTTGTGCGAAGATGTTTTGTATTTCCTGCGGAGTCGTCTTTGGTCCGGAATGCCCCCCTGCGAAATAGAGCCACATCCACATGCGTCATCTCAAACATATTGTAGGTACCGTTAGAGTCGGAGAGATGGCACCCCCGTGTTAGCGTTTTTTTGTAGCGTATTTCTCCACAACTATTACGGGAGGGTGCGAACACCAACCGATACCTCTCCGGAAATCCCTCCACGAGATGTTTCCAAAACTACCCTTTTCGGCAGTGGTACCCTCCTGGTTGTGGAGAAATGCGCTATACAACAACGCTAACACGGGGGTGCCATCTCTTGACTCTTTCGGTATTCTGAGTTCACTCTCTAAATGCTTCAAGGAATACTCGTACTTGAGTGCCACGCGACGGGGTAAGGGTGGTGGTTCTTGGTCACCGTCCTCAGAAGTCACAATATGGCCATCGTTGGCCAACCGGCCAGGTCGGGAGGGACCTAGAAGGCCGGCGATATGGAGTTCAGCCTGAATGACCCTGGGGGCTCTCTACCGTGTCCTTCCGAGAGATTTTGTCCGCATTTTTCCCGTGGGACCGATTCCCTCAAGAGAAACGATCCCGCTTCGCGCCCCGTCAAGAAAATAGCAATCTTTTGGTTAGCGTTACCGACAAGGTTCCGATATTTCTGCCACTTCAGATGCAGTATTTATCGGCGTGTTTCCGGAAACAACGAACAAGTATCGATCCCTCGCGCGTCATCACCCATGGGAGCAGGGCATCTGCTCTCGTCCCATGATTATCTCTTATCCCCGATCGGTATCCCCCGGCATCGACATGAGAGAATGTCACATGTCCCATCATTCTGATAGACATATTCGTTCGATTTTGCTCTGTGCCGGTTTCTTTTAGGGCAAACCCAGTGCTTCGATGCCTTCGTCGTCGCGTTGAGCCAAGCATGCGAAGGCGGAAAGAAGCGTTGGTATGCTTCAACACTGGAGCTGCAGCTGGCCTCGTTGGATGTCTGCAGGGCGTGCCGAAGTATCTCGATCTTGCACGTCCGTGTAACGGATGAGACGCCCAGGAGCTTATGGTCTCCCCGTCAAGTGCAGATGCGGTCGGACAAAGACAGCTCGAAGATTCGCTTGTCTAGTCGCGTGCCGGTCGTGCGAGCTCTCCGATTGACCTGGGCACTCCCGATGGGAGGCCTGCTGCGGACACCCGACATCGAGCTGTGGACATCGTCAGAAAATCTTGAGCTAGAGGGACCAATGGTTCGGCCCGGAGGGCTGACACAACTGTTGTTGAACGCACCGGTTGGTATTCCAATACACGACGTGTCGTGGCCCATGCGCCTGCAACGTCTAGTACTTCGGCATTTCAATCAGCCTATTGCCGGAGTCGTGTGGCCGGCGTCCCTGCGACAGCTATCGTTCGGGGCGGACTTCAATCAGCCTATTGAGGAAGTCGCGTGGCCGACATCCCTGCATCAGCTATCGTTCGGGGAAAAGTTCAATCAGCATATTGCGGGAGTCGTGTGGCCGGCGTCGCTGCAACGGCTATCGTTCGGGGCAAGATTCAATCGGTCTATTGCCGGAGTCGTGTGGCCGGTGTCCCTGCAACGGCTATCATTCGGGACGTTCTTCGATCAGCCTGTTGCGGGAGTCGTGTGGCCGATGTCCCTGCAACAGCTGTCGTTCGACCTCTGCTTCAATCAACCTCTTGCCGGAGCCGTGTGGCCGGCTCCCCTGCAACAGCTATCGTTCGGCCGCTGCTTCAATCAGCCTATTGCCGGAGTCGTGTGGCCGGGCTCCCTTGAGGAACTATCGTTTGGGGAAAGATTCGATCAGCCTGTTGCCGGAGTCGTGTGGCCGGCGTCCCTGCAACGGCTATCGTTTGGGGCAGCATTCAATCAGCCTATTGAGGACGTCGCATGGCCGTCATCCCTGCATCAGCTATCGTTCGGGGAAAAGTTCAATCAGCATATTGCGGGAGTCGTGTGGCCAGCGTCCCTGCAACGGCTATCGTTTGGGGCAGCATTCAATCAGCCTATTGAGGACGTCGCATGGCCGACATCCCTGCATCAGCTATCGTTCGGGGAAAAGTTCAATCAGCATATTGCGGGAGTCGTGTGGCCGGCGTCCCTGCAACGGCTATTGTTTGGGGCAGCATTCAACCAACCTATTGCCGCAGTCGCATGGCCGACATCCCTGCAGCAGCTATCGTTCGGGTCAGATTTCCATCGGCCTATCGCGGGAGTCGTGTGGCCGGCGTCCCTGCAACGGCTATCGTTTGGGGATAGATTTAATCAGTCTATTGCCGCAGTCGCATGGCCGGCGTCCCTGCAACAGCTATCGTTCGGCTGCTGCTTCGATCAGCCTATTGCGGGAGTCGTGTGGCCGGCGTCCCTGCAGCAGCTATCGTTCGGCCACTGCTTCAATCACGGCCTGCCTCCCTGGGACAGCTATCGTTCGACTGGCAATTCAATCAACCTCTTGCCGGGGTCGCGTGGCCAAGATCGTTGCGATGTGTGAATCGTTGCATCAAATCGTCATAGCGGTGGTACTTTTCGTGTTTGAGTTATATGCCGCTCTTTTGCAAGTTGATCAAGTTTGAGGATCTCGACGAGGCGATGGTCTGAAAATTGTGAGACGTGTTCGAATAGATTTCGTATGTATTTGTGTTAAAAACGTCACTTCAGACTTTCATTTCGTCTATTTGTCGAGCGAGGTATGGGCAAAGAGTGGTATCGTTTTGCCCGACGCCAGCTTTTTGCGATTTTGAGGCAAAACGGGAAACCCCATCAGGTTCGGACGCAATAAGCCAAATTCACGGAACAATTTCGTTTCAAACAACATACTTTTTTTTTTGTCATGGAAAAGGGGCGGGAGTTTTCAACGCGCCTTGTGCGCACGTTCTATCGCATCCACAAGGTGTTGGAGACATACGTGAGCTTTTTTCCTCTTGGTTATCCCATCCGTGCTTTTTTTCAATCCCGTAGAGAGAACACATCCCAGACCAATTTACGGCTCGATTGCTCCAGGACCGAGAGGTTGCACACATCGGTCGATTCATGCAGATAACGGTTTCGAAAAAACCGTTCCACCTCCGCCCCTCTTTCGGCATGGGCATCCCTATCGGTTCTGAGAACAATTCATCTGTGAGTTAATACGGTCTACTTGTAGGGGCGCGCATTTCTACGCGATGTCTTGTTCTCATTCTACGCGTAGACGGCGGTTTTGTTGATTGCTTGAGCTTGAGCAAATACAGGCCGTGGCCATTTTTGCCTTCTTTCAGAATATTGGCGTGAATGTACTCAGACCTCTGTTCACAATTCTAGGATGTGTCGTGCGGTTTTGCCTGGGATACGACAACATAAAAACCGACAATAGAATGAATCTCCTTTTTGGATGCAGTACAGTTGGTTTGTAGAACAGAGTCTTGGGGCTTATGGGCATCTATTGGCTCATCCTCCTGACTGAGTTATGTTTTGGGTGTTACTCCGGAAATGAAATGTTTGAATCCTACCTCATTTCTTAGGAACTCTTCGCCCTACCCCTAGTGCATTTTCCGTTAGCTCAAAAAGTTCCGCCCCCTTTGGGATGTTGGGACTCTGTCTGGATGTAGATTTCACCCTTATTCTTATGTTCACCGTCCAAGACCCAAAGTGCCCCAACGAGCGAAGCCTGCCTCCGTGACCAAACATCACTCAAGTAGCCGTGAGTGCTTGCGAGTGAAGCGAACCAACGCGCACCGTTTGACCGAATGGGAAATACGGTCCGGATACGCCAGTGAATGTGAGTGTTTAGCGGCGATGCCCAAAAACTCCCAATGAGTGAATAGGAGCAAAGCGCACCATCACACACACAAACGATTGGTACTGTACCGCTGCAATGCGCACAATCTTGGTAGTCGGTCGTGTGATCGGTTCGAGGTTGGTCGTCGATGTCCGGGAGCGCATTTCATTCGGGGTTCAGACGCTAGCGGAGTGGCAAACAGGGGGGCGCAAACGAGTTTTGGAGGCAGCCACATGGTACCAGATGCAGAGCTAAGACGGCGAGAGATCGCAGGATCCAGCGTGCTCAACTTCTTCACACTTTCTTACAGCCACTCCTGATGATTGAGGAAAAATCGAAATTGAGAACATATTCATGGTCGGCACCTCCATAATAGTCTAACGAATGACCGATCGATATGCTTTCTTTCTTCGCAAACCAAACGAACAAGTCGTGTCAAATTGATCGGGGAAAATAACTCACGGTGGCAAAACATCCGAGTCATCTCTGGCAATAATTCGATGTAGTCTATATAGGTCGACCACAGCACGGCGTTCGCCCTCAAACGTCAAGTCATTCAATAGTAGCCGCACACTCAGAGAGGGCTCAAAGCAAGGTCGGGAACAGCTTGACTCTTGTCGATTCTTTCCGCGCGACACAATGTTTCTACTGTTCATTTCAATGTTCTGCTCCATTCTTCGACCTAGTTGGTGTGCCTTCTCCAGCTTTCACGAACGCTAGGAGGGCATTGTGCAAGCACGCCCCCAGGGACTCAACAAACTCCCGGAACTACAAAGTGAATCCAGATGCTTGAATATTCCAGCGAGACTAAGGAGACAGCAGAGCTTGAAGTACAACTCGCCGCCAGGCGTTTCATCCACAAGCTGCACACAATATTCCGGAGCACACGCAACCGCTCGCCATGCCCGTCCGGCTGCAGACCTGCCAGTGTTATATCCGACCCCCGCCCCTGAACTCGTACGATGGAGAAGGAATATTTGACAAGGAACTTTCTACTTCCAGAAACCCACTTGCCACAGTCAAACAGAAGCTTGACACGATTGTTTCGTAGTCGTGGCGGAAATGTCTCGCGTTTACTTGTCGGAGTACGGCTTGGGGTTTCTCCGGTTGTCTTGCTCCATCCTTCGAAGCCTCTTGCCCCTCCACAGGAACCGAATCGGGGTGGACTTGAGGCCCAGCTGTATGTGTATCAGACGAGGAGAAAAAGGGCGGGGTGGACAGGGTGACCGGCATGAGAGGACGCGGGAAAATGGCGAACGAAAGCAACGCTTTGGGGAGCGGAGTGGGGGGGGGCGTGTGGCTGGTTGTCAAGGGGTAGGGGGCTCTACCAGTGCGGCTACACTCCCCACCACCAATCGATCGCGTCGATACTCAAAAAGAGGAGTAGGGTGCATGCATATTTTTCCGGCATCGTACTGGACCGGCCAGTCATGTCGAACATAAGGCCAAAGTCAGTAGACCACCCAACTGTCTCTACAACTTAGGCGAGAGGGGGTGGTTAGCCCTATCCTCACCCCACCAAACCACGTTAGGGACGGCTTTCGAGAGCGGATTCGCCTGCTTTATCCCCAAGAAAATGCGCGCGCATGGAGCTCAACTCTCAGGACCCGATGAGCACAACCGTCAAGCCTAGAGGAAAGTGGCGGCATACACGCACAACCATCGAAACTGCAGAACAACGAACGATCCCAAGCAATGTTCACTCGACAACGGCGTTGGCCGGTGTTCGACAGCCTCTCGGTCGGGGTTAGGCCAGTAAGCGCGCGCCGATCGCGAAACCAAGGTCACCGGGTTCGAGAACTGACCTGCTCCCTGAACTTGCGATCGAGATAGCGCTTGTAGTTGTCGCCGAACAGCTTCGGGTTGTTGCAGAAGACAGCCACCGTCGGCGGGCGAGTCGCGATCTATGGGGCAAATGGAGGAAAAACAAAACCAACGGCGCAACCAGTTGAGCAGGTCGATGCGGGAAGAAAAAACAAAAAGGGAGATGAAAAACATGAACGGAGATCGCGCGGATGTTTAGCTTTGCACCTGTCTTGTAACCTGGCGAGCGATCTTAGACATGGAGGCGTTCATTCTAGATGCCATGAGAGGCGATAAGACGCTCTTACAGGTCCATTGACATACCACAATTCATTCCTACGTTATCCTTTCCCTGCCAGCATTAGCCTACCTGGTTGCAGTAGTAGATCTTGCCCTGAGACGCGCCAGAGGACTTCTTGCTTGGGGGCGCTTGCCAAAGCACGGCGTCGCGAAGCACCTGGGCAATGCAACAAGGGCCGAACGAAGTACACGGTAACGCCTTCTGCTGTACTGATTGCTTTCGCATAGAATGGCGGGGAGAGGGGCTTGCACAGGACCACGGTGACAACGCAAAAGCAGAATTCATTTCATGCTCTCTCGGACGGGGCGAAGCCAAAGCACCGCGCCTGTAGCACTCCGTTGGCGTTCCAAATCCTTGTCTCAACTCCTTGACCCGCCCCCGAAAGAGCAACGAGACTGCGCAGCAGTGTTCGTTTCGTCCCATATTCTGGGCGTTGGCAACGCAGCTTCAGGCAGCAGCGTTGGGTACTCTACGAGATTCTCGGTAACACATTTTTTCAAGGTGGTGTGTTATCGTCATGATGCTGCAGGACGGTGCGTAAAGACGACGGTTTGGGGGTAAGACGGACAACCATTGCCTAGTCTAGTCAATCTGACGTAGAGAGCACACCGAACAGATACAGACTTCCAACCAATGAATCTCTGCTAGCTAAACTAAAGAACGCATGCTATAATCTTGTTGCACCCTGTAGACTACTTGTACAGCGTTCGATGTCACTTGCATCTGCGGAGCACGGATCAGTGACAGATGACGACTGATGATGCGTCCCAAAAGAGACCAGAGCCATCATGAACGCACAAGTACGTCACACAACGACGAAAAAAAATGAATGTAACCGTCGAAACGAGGCGGAAGGATAACCCGTCGCGGGGCAGGTAGACGAATTGTGCCCCGAACCTGTTGTGGCAAGCCAATCCCTCCAAGGGCGAACCCGATGCTATTGTAGATTGGACGGGGCTTCAAATTGATGGAGGATAGACAAAGTAGACACGCACAAATTGATCGAGATCGAAGAAAAATCATGTCGGAAAGCACCTGCTGCGTGCTCGTGTCTCGTGCTTGAGACGGCCGATCACCGACACAGGCAAACGTTAACGCAGGAAGTACCAATCAAGCTGACACTTGGTGAGGGCATCCAAAGCAGTGCAGTCGATGGGTCGACTGCTCGCACCTCGGCGGTTCCGCACAAAAAAGGTGCGTGGTTCGAGTCTTCCGACTGAACAACAGGCAATCATTCATCCATTCACATTTTTCGTACCGCGGTGAGACCTCGAGAGACCTTGACGGCCTCTTAGAGAAACCAGCCTACACATTATAGGTATACGCTTGACGCACCCGCCGGGGTCGCACAGGATGAATTCTCCAATTGGCCGCCTGCGGTGCTTGCCTTTAATTTTTCACGGGTCGGCCCAATTCGGTGGGAGTCAAAAGATTTTGTGGGGCACCCCAAGGTCTCCTCCCAAAAACAAAACTGGGCTAGGACTGGATGAAGAACAAAACGCCGACCCTGCGCGTGATTTTTTACCTCGTTGAGCACACTCGTCTTGACCCTCCGCCGGTGTTGAACGGCAACTTCGTCCACGAGGTCGAACAACTGAGGCAGGGTGGTGGTGTCAAGATAATTCGTGGTCCCGGTACGCAAACAGCCAACCGAAAAGAGGTTGCGCGCGTTAAGGGGGGGGGGGGGGGGGGGGGGCCTTAATTTTCCACCCCCCGGGGGGGGAAAGGGGGGGGCCCCCTCCCGAAATTTTTAAAACTTTTTTTCCTTTTTTTTTTTTGGGGGCCCCCCCCATTTTCCCCCCCCAAAATTTTTAAAAACCCCCCCCATTAAAGGGGCCCCCCCTTTTTTTTGTAAAAAAAAAAACCCCCCCCCAAACT